CTGATCAGCTGAGTGGGGTCCTGGTGCCCTGGCCCGTGTCACTGCCACTGCCCCGCTGTGGGGCAGGAATTCTCGCTGCATCCCAGCCCCCCACCCTGCAGCCAGCGCCCCTTCCTCTGATTTTGAAATCAGGCTTTGCAGTTCCTACGCGTCCCCAGCAGCTGAAGGCAGAGCCTTTCCAATTCCCCCAGCCCTGGGGCTACGTGCCCACGGCTTCTTGTAGCCTTCCCCTGTCCTGCGGCCAGCCCCGCCTGGCTCCAACCCGCCCCAGGAGACAGACACCCTTTCCTGTGCTCAGCTTCCAACTCTTTATTGTTTCCATATGAAAAATAGGACCGTCTCCTCCCCCCAGTGCCCCCGCACGGCCCCGCAGCCTGGTATGGGAGCCCGATTCTCCTCAACACCCCACATCTCCCCCCTTCCGCTCCGAACTGCCCCCAAAAACTTCCTTCCCATGGCTGCCCAGCTCCGCCCCGAAGCAGTGAAGATGCACGCCACCTTGGGGAGCAGGCAAGTGCCCCTGGCAGCGGGTCTGGGACCCCTACAGCACTGGGCAGTTATACTGGTACAACCGGGCTTATAGTGGCTGTAGGGGCAGACTGGTATAACGGCCCTTCGTACTGGATTAAGTGCCTCTGTGCCAGGGGCTGCACTGGGACAACTCTAACAGGTGAAAGTCACCCCTGCGCTGACACGGTTTACCGGGACAAGATCTGGGCCCAGCTCCGCTCGGGAAGTCAGAGAGATCACGCCACACTGCAGGGTAACAGCCCGGGGACCAGACATGGGCTTTGAAAAGCTCCCTCCTGCCCCCAACACAGAAAGAGGACATGTTCGGGTTAGGTCCTCTCCCGCCAGGACTCCAGCAGGGGGCACTGCAGCCTCCACCCGGGCTAGGGAGTGATGGTCGGTGCCGTGGAGCGCTCGGTGCTTGGCTGCAGCGGAGGCGCGAGGCGTTTATGGGAGGAAGAGCAGGGTGTGGAGAGAGATGCTGTGGGGTGCGTGTTGCAGATGGACACGGACACAGGGGGATGGGGGGGTGTTTCAGATGGCAGCCCCCTGAGCCAGCCCTCCTGCCCTGGGACCAGATAGGAGCCCATGCTCCCTAGAGGGCACAGGCCCGGTGCCCCATTCCCCGCCCCCCTGAGCTAGCCAATCCCCCACCTTGGGGCCTGATGGGAGCTGGCGCCCTCTAGAGGGGAAAGGCCCCATGCCCTGCTCCATCCAATCCGCTCAGTTCCATCAATGTCCTTCCAGTCCCATTCTAGCTCAACTTCCTGCCAGGCGGCGCCTGCTGTCCCAGCGCCCGGAGCCGATCGGAGTGGGCTTGGTGGCAGAAGAGGGGGGCATTCTGCTGCAGTCCCAGCTCTCCCCACTGGGGCTGCAGGGGGCGCTAGAGCTCCTGGGGCGGCGCCAGAGCCCCCAGGCCGCGGCGCAGGGCGCTAGAGCTCGCCACGGGCGTGCCGGATGTAGTGTTCGTGCAGGCCGGCCTCCTGGGCGAAGCTCTCGCCGCACTCCGTGCAGGAGTAGGGGCGGGAGGGCAGCAGCTCCAGGGGGCGCTGGTGGGAGGCCTGGTGGCGGCGCAGGTTGGAGAGCTGGCGGAAGCTCTTGCCGCAGTCGGGGCACTGGTGGGGCAGGCTGCGGCCGGCGGCGTGGCCCAGTCGGTGGCGCTGGTAGTTGGCCAGCTGGCCGAAGCGGCGGCCGCAGTCGGAGCACTCGAAGGCGGGGCGCAGGCAGTCGGGGCAGTCGGGGGGCGGGGCGGGGGCATGCCCGCGCTGGTGGCAGATGAGGGCGCGGGAACTCTCGAAGGGCTTGCTGCAGATGAAGCAGACGAAGAGGGCGTCGCGCAGATTCTCCTGCACAAAGTCCTCGGGGTGCTCCCGCTTCATGTGCCGCTCCTTGAACTTCTCGTCCGGGAACGTGATCAGGCAGTGGAAGCACTGGTTGGAACCCAGGCGATCTGGGGGGGCGAGGGAGAGCTCAAGGCTCCAGCCTGGGCTGACCCCCACCCCCAACTCCGTGCCCAGCCTGGGCTCCCCACGCCACCCGCCTCCCCCCGCTGCCGGGATCCCTAACTCCTTCTGAGCTGCATACTCCGGTGGTGGGGAGGGGGAACGGGGCTGCCCTCCCCGAGGGAAGGGCCGGGAGTCCTGGCATTGGGGGGATCTGGAAGGCGGGGTGCAGTTCCCCAAGGGAAGGGCCGGGAACCCCAGTGCTATGGCATTTAAAACCCTAGAGAACAGACACAGGAAATGGCCGTGACCACCTCCGGTACTTACAGACAGGGCTGTTGCTGGAAGAGGCCTTGACCTTCCCCTCGGGACTGGGCCGGGCGGGTTCGTCCTCGACGCAGATTGGCTCCAGGTCAGAGCTGGGGCACCGTGTCCGGGCTGGGGTAGCCTCCTGCTTGGCAGGGAGTGCAGGCCGCGCTGGGATCTCCTGCGGGAGCGGTTCAGCCAGGGGCTGCTTCTCTGCTGTGACTTCAGACATCTTTTCTCTGCGAAGGGAGGAGCGAGTTGTGTGAGAGCACACCCTCCCCCCAGATCAGCCCCATGAGCCCAGCTAGCCACATATCCTGTCCCCCCAGCTCAGACCCACCTAGGCCCCTATCCAGCCCCCTCCCTGCCGCCCCAGATCAGCTTGGTATCCCCTTCTTTGGATCAGCCCCATGTTTCTTTCTTTCACTCTAGGTTTCTTTGCCCCACACCATGAAGCACCTCAGCTTCCCATAGGGCCCCTCACTGCAGTGTCTCAGCCCCTCACTCCGCCCACCCCATTTCCTCCCATCGCTCCCCTCAAGGAGCCCCCTCCTGTCCAACCCTCTCTCCATGCAGCCCCCAGCTGTCCCCCCCATGCAGACTCCCCCACCCCCCATGTGGGCCAAAAGCTCCCCATATGAAGCCATTACTGCCTGTGGACTCCTCCCCCCAGGCCCACCCTCCCCATGGAGGCCCCCAACTTCTTCCCCCCCTACAGATCCTTCTCCCTCCCCTCACATGGAGCCCCCCCAAACTCTCAACTCTTCCCAGGGACCCCTCCTCTCCCCCCTCCCAGGGAGTCCTCGTCGTCTAAATGCTCATGGAGCCCTTCGCCACCTTCATATAGATCCCCCAA